TAAATAAAATAGAAAGCATGGTAGAAAGTCCAAAAGGCCTCAATGAGAGCTTACTGTGTCTGTCATTCCGGTCCATTGTGCCATCCACTTTGCCATCAGGAAGTATCCTTAAGAAGTGGCCTCCATTGCTGCAGTAAAGGAGTTTGGGTTTCTTGTAATTCCCCATCGGGAGGTCAAACTTTTCTGTCAGAGCTGTGAATGTTGTTATTTTTCCTTCAGCCATTTCTTGTCCTCTCTTGGAAGTAGGGTTTCAGTCCTGGAAAATTAATTCAACAGGCCTAATAGTAATGTGTGCCATACTGCAATTATATATTCAAAGGAAGGTGAGCATTCTCCAGTGAAACGTACGGAGACTTTTGTATATAGCAGTACTATTTTAAATAGGCTAATTGTTCATGGAATCAGCCACAGAATGTACTGCCTTTTCATGTTTGATCCTGATATTACAGGAAATTTCTTTAAAAAAAAAAAAAAGCATCACAAAATTTTCTCCTTTTTTCTTCCTGTTCCACATTTTGTACCAGAAATAATCAATGCAGCTGGCATATATGCAAAACAAGGGAAAATTAAAATTAGTTTAAAAAGTGACACATTAAACAGAAACACAGCTGAATCATATGAACAACAAACAAACCAGAACCTGAAAAGAATTACTTTTTGGAATATACCTCCCAACTTTCCAGAGAGAGAAAAAAAGTTTTGGGTTAAAATAATATATTATACTATAATCCTATGCATACATTTGTTTGTTTGTTTGTTTGTTTTTTATTTATTTAATATCCCACCCAGCTAGACCAAAGTCTACTCTGGGCAGCTAACAATACTACTACTAATAATAATAAAAAAACCAATATTAATACAAATAAAGATGGCGGAATAAATTAAGTATTGACAGGAGGGAAGGCCTGCCGGAAGATCCAGGTCTTGAGCTGGCTCTTAAAAACACTCAGCAAGGGAGCCAGACAAATTTGCGGGGGGGGGGGAATTGTTCCAGAGATGAGGGGCCACTGCCGAGACAGCCCACTTTCTTGTTCTTTCTCTTGGGGCCTACCTCAGCATTAGGCCCCTCAATTGCCCCTCCTGGCTAGAGTGAGTGATTCAGGTACGTAGATCTAGGTGGGAGGAGGTGTTCCACCAGATATTGAGGTCCTAAACTGTTTAGGGCTTTCTTTATATGTCATCATGAGTATTTTGAAATCAATGCAGAAAGGAACAGGCAGCCAATGCAAGGCCATCAGAGTAGGGGAGATATGCTGATGTTTTCTCAACCCAGTAAGAAGTCTGGCCACTGCATTCTGCACCATTTGAAGCTTTGGCATCAGTCTCAAAGGTAGCCCCATGTAGAGAGCATTACAATAGTCTAATCTCGAGACTACAAGCACATGGAGCAGAGTGGTGAGGGCCCCTACATCAAGATAGGAACACAGCTGGGCAAGATTGTAGACCACTGACACTACCTGGGTTTCCATGGTAAGTGCCGGATTCAGGTGTACCCCCAAGCGGCAGACCTCAGTCTTTGTAGTGAGAGTCACCTCCCCTCCAAAATGAGGTAGTTTCCCAAACCACCAATATCTGGGCCACACACCCTCTGGACCTCCATCTTGTCCAGGTTCATCCTCAGATCATTCACCTGCATTTATTTCAAATTATGTGAGAAAGCGCCACTGAACATAGTCAGACTTAATTCAAAAGAAACATCTGCAGACAGTGGTCCTATGAGAGCTCAGCAAACTAAACAGTCCGCAGACTTCACTTGGTGCACCAGGTAAGCATCTCTGAGGAGAGAACAACTGAAAAGGGCCCTGTCCTTAGTGGTCTTTCTGGTTTTTATTATTGGTCAATTTGCTTTTCCAAGCAAATGTTCATTTCTTAGACTAAATGCTTCCATTTTTTGCCTCTGTTCTGTCCATAAAACATGTCTTTGGAAAGCAGTGCTCCTATTAAGATGTGTCTAAGAAATAAACATGAGGAACTCTGCTCTCTGTGGTTTTGAACTGGTATCCAACAGTAGTGCCTACTACTGCCAAAGCAATCACAGATCATAGCCACGATTAAGAAAAGGCGGGAAATGGGTCATTTAAGGTTGCTGTGTTGGGAATCCCTTCTTCAGCTTCGACAGACATAAAGCAGGTTTTATGGGAAGTTATAATTTTTGGATATAGGACGTCAACAACCTGAGACAACCAGAGGATGTTCGTCAAGTCAAAATCCATTCAAAGAGCATACTTGTGTCAGCAAGCGCAAAGAAGGAAGGGAACATGGCTGGCACTACAGCAGCCAGCTACATTTGATTCTCCTCATCATGGATGAGAAGGACCACATTTTTTTAGCAAGCAGATTGCTGGACTGGGACTAGGACCAGGGAGATCTGGGTTCTTGTCTCCATTGAGCCATAAAATTCACAGGGTTACCTTGGACAAATCACTCTATCAACCTCATACAATTTCTGTGAGGATGATTGGGTGAGGGACTTAAGTTGCCCTGAAACCTTCGAATAATCCGTAGAATAAAGTGATGACTGAAATGGAACTTACAGAAGAGTTGATTTAGCAAATTCCCACTGATTTAACAGGCGTATTCTAGTTGCAACTTATTACCCTAAGCAACAGGACTTCAGTCACTGTCTTATAGCCAGAGTGGAGGCATTAGAGCTCCCAGAATCTCCCAGTCAGGATAGTTTTTGCTTAAACCAACAGTTCAAATCAAATGATCAAACTCTTTAGCTTAATTCTCTTTTAAAAACATCTCTGTCTTCCCCGCTAATGTGAATGGAAAGGCAAGAATGTCAAAAAGAAAAAGTGAGAGGCAAATGGCAGGCTCTGTTCCAGTCCTTGTAAGGCCTGTTTCACTCTTGTGTCAAAATACAGTGGGCCCTCGACTTACGAACTTAATCCGTTCTGGGAGGACATTCGTACCTCGGAAAATTCGTAAACGAAAGAGAAGCAAGCCGGCTGGCCAGAGAGGAATCGGCTCCCTCCTTCCATCCGACGGTGAGTCCCCTTCGTGCCGGCTGAGCTCAGCCCAGCGCGAAGAGGACCCAGCGTCAGGTGAAAGGAGGGAGCCGATTTCTCCCTGGCCGGCTGGCTTGCTTCTGAAGCCAAAAAGGCAGGGAGAAAGCATGAGAAGGTTGAACTTCCCATGCTTTCTCCCTGCCTTTTTGGCTTCCGAGGGTTCAGAAGGGTTCCTCCGATGTCGGAGGAAGCCTTTTGAAAGCTCCAAAGGCAGGAAGGAAGGGCAGGAAATTCGAATTTCCCACCCTTTCTTCCTGCCTTTTGGGTTCGTAACCCGATCTGCGTTCGCAAGTAGGGTTTACTACTTGCGATGAGATCGGGTTCGTAACCCGAAATGTTCGTAACTAGGGCCATTCGTAACTCGATGGCCCACTGTAAACAATCTGTGCATTGCAGCTTGTAGCAGAGGCAGAGAGGTTGGGAGCCCTGGTTTTTTTTTTTCCTGCACCTTAAAGCTTTCTCTTCTCTTCAGAACAGAATAAAATAAGCAGACACAGCTTTATTCATTACCATGATTGCCAGGTCAGCAGCATCCCAATCCTTGAGATTTCAAAGCCAGAGGAGACCTAGGCACAGGTTCTCAGCAACAGTTGCAAAACAGTCCTGTGTGACAGACAATGTCAAAATTCTAGGAAGAATGTCAAGGCCCACATGTGAATTGTAGCAGCAGCAGGTCCACAGCAGGCAAGATAATGAAGGAGACAAGGATGCTTCTGACCATCCGTGAATGGCCATAAAGGAATGGACTATAACATGGAGGGTTTTCAGTCTGGCTGCATCTCTTAGAATTCAGTCTTGAAGCCTGAAATCCAGAGAATGGACTACAAAGTCTGAGTCTCAGGCTTAAAACTTCAGACTTGACAACTTTACATAAGGAGGGTATAAACCAAGATGCTTCCTTTCAAGTAGTACCAGAAAGTTCTAATGATCCAAATGTTTCTCTGAATTGTTTTAACAGAACAGCTCTGTGGGACATTTGGAAACGATTTAGTTAATTCCATGTTGCTCTACTTCTTTAAGATATGGTACTATTTTTAGAAGCCATCCTGGCTTGCCAGCAGCCTTTTGACTCTGCAAGAGAAGTTGAATGAATCTTATTTTCCGCCCCCATTGTCCTGATGTGCCAGACGGGAACACTGTTCTCATACTCTTGATGACTGCGTTGCGTTGTTGGTATTCCACACAGAGCGCTACTCATGGGCCTGCTATTATACTGTTGGCAAAGATGTGCTGGGTTTTACGGGAATGAAAGTAAGTATGTGTATATGTGTGTATATGTGCAAGAGAGAGAGAGAGAGAGGATGCAAACCAAAGACAACATCTTATTTTTTCTGGTTTGAGGCCGAACTGCATAATGATGAAAAAGCTTGTAGAGATCCAGAAGATTTCATCTAAAATGATCTCCGACTCCAGCACTCCACAAAAAATGGTCCAAAGTGAGAAACCCTGCAAGGAGAGATTTCCTGTTGTCTTTATTTGGGACAGGAATGAAGTGGAACACAAATGTATAGGCATCCCAGAGCAGTCTGACTTGCATTGTCATCTATTGCAGTCCATGCATTTATTTATTTATTATAAATATCTGTCCCTATTTTGATTCTTTTCTCATTTGTAATTAAGCTATCAACACAAAACATTTCTTTTTTTTTCATGCACCATCAAGTCAATTCTAACTTATGGCAGTTTTTTCCAGAGAGAGAATACTCAGAAGTGGTTGACCATTCCCTTCATTTGGGGGTGCCCTGGCACTATGCAGCTTGCCCAAGGCCACACAGGCTGGCTTTACTCACAGGAGGCACAGTGGGGAATGGAAATCCCAACTCTGGCTTCACAGATAGATTCCTAAATCACTTCCAGATAGTAATTCAGACTGGAATTAATTATGCTTATTCCCAGGTTGTTGTTGTTGTTGTTTAGTCATTAAGCCGTGTACAACTCTTCATGACCCCATGGACCAGAGCACGCCAGGCCCTCCTGTCTTCCACTGCCTCCCGGAGTTTAGTCAAATTCATGTTGGTAGCTTCGATGGTTTTTTTTTTATGTTGAGCTTCACACCATTTTTGCGCTCTCCTCTTTCACCCTCATTAAGAGGTTCTTTAGTTCCTCCTCACTTTCTGCCATCAGAGTGGTATCATCTGCATATCGGAGGTTGTTGATATTTCTTCCAGGAATCTTAATTCTGGCTTGGGATTCCTCCAGTCCAGCCTTTCACATGATGTATTCTGCATATAAGTTAAATAAGCTG